ACAAAGTAACATAACATTAGTAATTTGAAATCGGTAGAATTGTTCATTACTGTTTTTTTTTGTTTTTTGTTCGATGAAAATACCTTCTAATATTGATGTACACGAAATATTTGAACTCAATAGAAAAAAATGTAAACAAAAAAAAACAAAATGTACATAGTAAATGATAGTAAAGCATGAACTTTACAATTTAGGTTAAAAGAGATATGTTGTGTTCAATAGGGATGTTATTTTAGTAATTAATCTTTTTCCGGTTATTTATTTACTCTGAAGAAGTGGCTAAAATTAAGTGACGAAACGTCAGAAATATAATTTTTATACTTATTAGGATGCAAAGGTTAGGTTTGGGAACATGGATTGAGATAACTTCAGCAATGTGCCAAAGGCGTGCTCATAAACCCTGTGGCAAATTTGATGGAATATGATAGATAACCTTAAAAGCTTTATTCAGTTCAACTTGATGACTTGTGTCAATCAAGTGAGCGAGAATAAAACTCTTAATCATTTTTACCTGTCCTTTGCCCGACCACGATGGATGGTGCTCTGTTATACAATGACGAATTTGCCGAATTGTACACCTTATATAATTGGCTTTAAAAAAAGGGTTACACAAAATGTCTGCTACAGGACAATACACTCTTTTCTATAGTGCAGTGTCAATCAGATACAAAAGGAACTTCATAAAAATCCTGACTCATCGTGCTAAAATAATTTGTTCCTATGAGACTGTCATAGATGAATTGGTTAATATTCGTAACTTAGAAAGAATGGGTACCCAATGAAATTTATCGACAAACACATGAAGGAAATAGAAAGAAGGACAAAGATACCTACGATTCCTAAGAAAGTATTGTTCATAAAATTACAATTCATAAATGATACTACTGAAGAAATTGTGACGCAGAGACTAAGAAAAGCGGTACATAAAGCATTTAATGCAACCAGACTAAGTGCTATCTTGTACAACCATCCCATAATAAGAACGGTCAATAAAGACAAATCACCTGAATTCGCCAAATTCATGTTCATTTATCGATTCAACTGCTCCTGTAGAGCCAGTTATATATAGGGAGTAAAATTCGGCAATTTCGTCATCATATTATTAGGATATAACAAAAAATTAATTTTTTACCCAATCCTTAATTTATTTGGAACTATTAAGTCTAATGTTGACACTGGTACCTATAATGAGATAGTTGTTTTTCTATTACAGTTGTAATAACTTATTTGTTGTTATGGTACTCAGGTGAATGAATTTTTTTATCCATGTTTAACATTGATACGCTTGATGAGATTGTATGATTAATATAAAAAAGAAATGATAGGTAGGACTATAATTTATGGATGTTCATTGAGCGATGCTAATGTGACCTTGAGAGTGTTCACCTAATAACTGGAATAAAATAAGGGTCATAAATTAGTATAAGGAATTCGAATTATGATTTACAGTTGATGGTTAAGGTTAAGAATTATATTTAAGGTTTTCATCACGAATTAACATCATATATAATGCCAAAACACTATTTAACCAAATGGATACATGAATTTCACGCCAAAATCCAAGACCTGTTATCTTATACCTGATTGGTTCGTCCATAAACTATAGTCCGGACAAATGACTTAATCATCTGTATTGTGTTATTAAATAACTCATTTTTTAAAATGAACTCTTGCGAATGTGAATAATCCAAAACCCGAAGTATTATTTGTGAAAAATATATATATTTACATAGTATTGATCACAAAATGAGGTTAGTTAGATAACTGCTGAAAGCCAGGAAACACTGGACAGATGTATCTTACTAGTATGAGACTCCTTATCAGAAATGCAATCCCAAAAGTTCTAGCAACAATGTATGGCCTGTGGAGTCAAGTCACATTGAATGTGGTATAGTTATGCATTACAGGCAAATGAAATTATTCATCTTATATTGGGGTTAGATTTGTACAAGACTGGGTATCGGTTTGATGGTTCAGTGATTAAGCGCTCAATGGCGAGACAGAAAGTCATGTAATCAATCAATGTTATATCTGCGCATTGTCGAAGATTCCGGTACTGGAACTAATTAGCTATCGAATACTTCTTGGTTTTCAATTTGGGATGCAAATTATGAACATTTATTTATTTCCATAAAACTCTTATAATGAGGATATCATATTTGTATCAAATATATTTGAAATATTTCTAATTTACTCAGATATTTCCTAAAGAATAAGTAAGTTTTTAAACCAGATACTAGGTTGGTATTTTCAATTTTTATTGTGATGGCATTTTTAATCAACCTGTTCATAAAATTATTAAGATAATATTATAAAGTGTACCGCATTAATAACAGAATATGTAATGTATTGATTTGTAGTTTATGTATTTCCTTTAAACTGTTGTCTCTTAAAATATATTATGAGGTGCTTATGTATAATGAAGCTTATAAAAGTCATTTAATTGTCAATAACAGATCCCCTAACATTGGTAACCGTAAAGCTTACCGATATACTGTTTATATGTTCTTAATTCATCTAAATGAAATTTATTGAATAACATTAAAATAACTATGATAAAGATTTATGATTTACTTCCTTCATCGAATTAGTGAAAAGATTTTAACCACATTTTCCTTTCTTTAAACTTATCCCTAGTAATTTATTTGGAAATTACTATTTTGATAACAATCAGCTGTTATAATCACGCTGTCACTTGTTTATATTCATGTTTGAATGTGGTTAAAACTAGAGATTTATTTTCAAAAGGCTATATATTTAGGTCTGTATTCCTACAATTGAAGAATATATGAAACTCAAAACATCTGTTAACCAATATCAAATTCAGAATCTTTAACACGAACGTCAAAACAGTCAGTTCTATTGTACGAAGCTTAATTTTCCAGAACTACCACAACCATCATCAAAATATTACAAATATTTATAAGTAGTTGTCTACTCAAGATACTCAATATCCATTGGCTAGATACAATCAGGTACAGCGTACTGAGGGAGAGAACAAACCAGGTTCCAGATGAGGATGAAATTAGGGGATGACGTTGTAAGTGGATATGACTTACATTACGCAAATCATCAAACTGCATCACGAGGCAAGCGCTTACTTATAATCCTGAATGGAAGCGGGAAAGAGGAAGGCTCGAAGAACACATTACGTTGAGAAATAGAAGGAGATATGAAAAGGATGAATATGAAGTGTAAATAACTGGAAATGATTGTCCATGACAGGGTTGTATGGAGAGTTATGATGTGTGGCCTATGCTTCTGGATGAGGGTAACAGAAGTAAGTAAGTAAGCATAACTTTAGATATTTGAGGGGAAAAGTTTTCAGTTCAACACATTTGGCACATATTTTAATAACACTTAAACCAGTCAGTATTTTTTAAATATTGATAGTCCTACGACTGTTCCAATTCCCGAGCACATCCCAACGACCTTGAAACCGAGAGGCGCGACGGTTTCAAACAATGCAATAGCTTGGTATTTATTTGACACCAGACATACCATTGACATTCCACAAGTCTTCAAAATTATTAGCAGACAAGAAAGCGCAGCGTTTCTTCAGTTTGCTGAAACTACAGTTATGAAAATACTTAAAACTTGTTTATGTATTTAGAAAGAGACAGTATTAAATAGACTTATTTCTACCTTGGTAAATTATTTTAGTCACTATCATTATTTTATTAGTATGTATTTTGTTATATCGTCTTCGCTAAACTAATTCTTATTCCATGTTCACCAAAGGTTTTAATTTACTTGAATCCCTCAACTTATGTGAAAGTCACAAATCCTGTTCAGTTATCATGTAACCCATCTTATCAATTTCTAATTCCAGTAATTTTATGTAAACAATTTACAACCTCTAAAATTATCACATAATTTATTTTATCTGTCTCTTGACCTCATTTAATTATTGCATCGACTCTCCCGCTGTGTTTTTGAATTCCATCTCTAAATAACCTTCAACCTATATATATAGTTATTATTGATAACTTTTGCCATTCTAATTCTTTTCGTCAGTCATCTTAATTGTTTTACATTATACCATACCTTAATGATACCTTTCAATACTTATATGATTGTAAGCAGCTGGTAAATAACCACGAAATACACCATGAATTCATATTATTCTGTATCAGTTGTTCTTCCGGCTTTGTCCAAATTACTTTTCAGAACTGTGAGCTCATGAGCCACACTTACTTACTTACTTATGGCTGTTACTCTCAATGAAGAATAGGTCGCTGACCAACATTCTCCAACCCACTGTGTCCTGGGCCTTCCTATCCAGTTGTGTCCAATTTTTGTTCATTTTTCTCATTTCTGTCCCTATTTCTCAGCGTAATCATCAGCCACAATAGACTCAGCTAAAAGTCTTCATTATGCACGATAACTTTAAAACTTTAAGGAAAATCATAATGGAACGATATAGTTGTCCAAAATCTTCAGACTTTACAATCATCATCATCATCATCACCATTAATAAAACCCACATAATTAATACAAACATCATTTAATAAATCCAAATCATAGTTATCTATTTACTTTTTTCTTTCTGATTATAACATATTTCTAATGACACCAATAATAAGAGAGACACACAGAAAGAGAGAGAGAGAGACGATTAACCAGAGAGAAATAAAGATTAACAACCAAAAAAACAAAACAATAATAATGTTTGAAAAAGAAATGAAAGTATGCACAGTATATACGTACAACGTATTATAACAAGATTAACATAAATAATCAGGTTGCATATTACAATTAGACAACATATCATAGAAAAAGAAAGATACTACTTAATAATAATAATAATAATAATGTGTAAAGATAATTTGTAGACAGGGAATAAAGTTAATAGTAAAAAAACATGTTGAGTAGAAATGCATTGCACACATACATCATTGTTAGTTGTTTTAATAGTATTATCAGTATTAGTAGAAGTAGTAGTAGTAGTATTGAATGCCTAAATGATATTAAATAATGTTGCATAGAATAATCCGGACATATATATATATATATATATATATATATATATATATATGATTCTTTTGGTTTTCAATGCATAGTAATGCATAAACAAAAAAGATTTCGGAAAAAAGGGAGAGGAACATTTTGATTAATACCAACAAGAAAAATCGTAATGTAAAAGAAAATGGTGGTTTGTTTGTTTCTGTTTCTCTTTTTTCATTTTTTTTCCATTTCACTAATAATTAAAACCTTTTTTTTAAATTGTCATTTAACGCCATGGTTCATATAATCGTATATCACCTTCTAATTGGGCAATTTGTAAATCTTTTTCTGCTAGTTGTTTACGAAGACGTTGAATTTCTCTTCTTTGTTCAATAAATGCTTCACGTAACTAATAAATAAAATGAATGAATAGAATATATAGAATAAATGAATTATGATATTTAAAAGATTTGATTGGATTTGTAATGTATTAAAATACAATTATTGAGATCATGAACTGATTGATGTTAGATCAGCAGTGAGCATCCACAACCCCACTAGCGGGATTCGGACTCATGACCTTCAGAATCGCTCACAAACGCTTAACCTCTGGACCACTGAGTCAGTATCCAACGGTGTTAATGTCCAACATCGACCGATCCATGAAATCGCTCGACCATCTTCCAGTGTACTGAGGAAGATACCTGTTTTTATCCGACACGGATTAGTTCCACTGGTCACGACTTCTCACTAGAACTCCGAGAATTCCCTCAATCAAATACTTAATAATCTCCGCAACCCTATACGAAAATACAATCACTTTTATAATAAATAATCATTGAAATCAGTAGTAAACATATTAAGTTTATTTTAGTAGCTTATAAAGATATTGTATGAGAGTAGTGATGAAAAGATTGATTCATCATAGAATCTATACTTTAAACCACGTTTTGATGTTGTCTCAAATTATCTAGCTTTAAAGTTTGGTGTATGTGATGTTGAGCCATTTAGACTTTGATATGTACTGCGTATGTCAACATAAGTAGTATATAACGCTAGTCAGGAATAGAATGTCTGGCAGCAGCAGGTTGAGAATATCAAGGAGGTAATAATGGGAATAGAAAGTAATTGATATGGAAATGCAGGAACAAATTTGAGACAATTAATGAACATTTTGCAAATGAAGTATAGGAGTAGTATTTTTCTGTTTTTGTCAAGTAACTATGTAATTCTATGTTGAACATAATCGGCTGTCTTCACCTGTGTTCTCCTTCACTACAAGACTAGTGGCAGCTTTGCAACTTGATCGGTAGAACTCAATGAGGACTAATAATTATGAAAACATGATAATGGTTTACAGTAATTGATCAACATAGTAATTTCTAACTTTTTATTGGCTGATCATCTTTTACAACTAGTTATTCAATCGATCTATTCGGACTCTAAATATAGAAGACAATGAAATTTGTAAATCTTTCAGCAATATTCAAAAATCTTGCAACATAATAATTTTCCTAATTAGCTTCTTCAATATAGGGCTCAAGAGCTGTACTAAAGTGATTATAATATTTTCACCGAACAAACATTAACTAATTGGCTTCATACAATGAAGCAAATAACTAATGCATTTTGTTTGATCATGTAAAATTCATATATGACTGGTTATAAAAGCAAAGAAAAGTAATTGAATATCAGTAACTATTGTAAGTAATGACTGTCCTATTTTCGATGGATAGAAATTACATATCTCTGTGTATCTTCTCATCTTCCAGCTGCCTTGTATATCCTTCTATGTTATTGTTAGTTGTACATTATATTATGTCTAATCACACATTCAATGTTACACACTATGCTAGTGTAATGAAAACAGGTACATTAAAGTAGTTGAAATAATATATTCGAATTTTAATAAAATGTATACCTTTTGATAATCCGTAGGTAAATGGCTTAATAGTTCAGACTTTTTCGGTGCACCAGTTACCTATAGAATAACAGAAAATAAGTTGACCAAATAAATTACATTATAAGTGTTATTCCCACTTTCTAATTACGTAATAATTCACTTATATGCAGTAGTTTGAATATGATCTATGAGTGAACTTAAAGTATTTCGTAAAGAAATGAATAAGGGAAGAGCACTATACTTAGTATTTGGATACTGACATAATTTGTTGAATTTTTATAGTCTACTTCATGAACTTATCTGAATTTGATAAACATTGACAATCAGGAGGTATTGAGATGTACTTATCCAAGTAAAAGATGTATTATTGGTGAACATCCACTACTCTACCACAGGGCATTGAACGCAACACCTTCGATATAGAAAGCAGACGGTTAAACTGTAGACTCTTGAGACGGTATCTGTTGGTGAGCATATCTAACTTTAATAAGTTCTCAATATTACTTTACAATCTTCCATTGCTTGAGGTGGAAAACCACTTCACACTCGATATTGATGAACTAAACGAGTCACGAAATCTCGCTAGAACTTCTGGATTTGTATCTTCTTTGGGGACCTGGATGAGCGCTGAAGAGGAGTCTCATAATAGTACGAAAAATCTGTCTACTGTTTACTGGTTCTTAGGAATTGTCCCATTATACAAACTTTGCAAAAAATATTATAAGCCAAACATATACTTCTGTTAGGAATGTATATTATGAGATAAATGGCGTAGAAAATTACCTTAACTTTCATTTTACTAAGATTGTCTACTTATGTGCATTTGTTCGAAATGACTTTAGATCATTGACTTTTACTCTGATTTATAAAGTTCGATGTTTCAGTTAATAAATCATAAAAAAGAACTAGTTGATTTAAATAAGGTATTTGATAATAATAGAAATACAATTTTTCAATGGTTGAATTCATGAGTCGATATAAGCTAGACCACCATCGAAAGTCTACAAGCAGTGGATGGCCGTTTCGTTCTAGTATGTGACTCCACAGTGGTGCGCATCCACGATCCCGAACACGGGACTCTAAACTAGGAACTTCCTAGCAAACGCTTAAACTCCAGACCACTGAACCGTGACCTAACGCTGTTAATGTCTTACTTCAGTCGATCCACAATCTTCCGCAACACTTCATCTATTGTTTGAGGGTGATAAATGTCTCCATCTGACACGGATTTGACTCCACTGGCATTCCACTAGAACTCCAGGAAATCCATCTTGAAGCTAGTCACTAGTGAGCACATGATTGTTATCAATATGGAGGATTTGTGGAGTTCGTAGTATTTTCATGGCTGAATTTACTGTTCGATCTAAGCAAGATCTTAGCTAGAGATAAAGCGTTTACGCACGAGACAGAAGGTCCTGCGTTCAAGTCCAGCGTGAGGGATCGTGGCTGCGTATGCTGAAGATCCCTATACTAGAACGAAACGGACATCAAGTGTTTCCAGATTTTCACTGTTGGTCTAGCTTAGATCGACTTATGAGTTCGACTATTAAAATTACCACAATCTCGGCAAACCCCCATTCGGTTAAATATTAGTTAGTTTTATTTCAATTTTCAATTAAGTATCCATTAGCATTACCATCTATTACAAATTGATTATCATATCAGTCATTATAATTAGAAAATATTTTCTTTTAGAAGGAAATAAAAGAAATCATGTATTTGCACTAATTCATTGTTGATATCATGAAGAAGAAAAATAAATCATAATTTATCCAATAGATTTAAAATCAATTTATTTTAATTGCCTAACAGAAGGATATCTATCAATTAAAGGACGAGTATACTGCGCGGCAGTTCGTTCTGTCCTTCTTAACGGCAGCGAAACGTGGTCACTAAGAGTAGAAGATACTCAAAAGCTACTAGTATTTGATCACAGACGTCTTAGAAATATTGCTTACATCTGCTTGGATCACCTAGTAAGTAAGATTAGATGCAGGGTATTAAAGAATGGTGGTGAGTTATTTGATGAGGTTGTAAGTCATCATTGACTGAAATGGTTGGACTTCGTGTTACGTATGCCTGGACACCGATTACCACGAAGCGCAATGTTGACTAGTATTAAAGGCGATTGGAAGAATGTTAGGGGTGGCCAAACCAAAACGTGGCATCAGTGCTTGAAGTCACTAACTTCTGGTCTGAGCCATATTGGTAGATGTAGACTACTTAGTTGTGGTCCGCATGACTATCGTAACCAGCGGTTGTAGACTCTTGGTGACATTGCTCACAACCGATCACAATGGCATCGGTGTATACACTCTTTATCTTCCCTTAAACTATGAGACTAAAGTTACTTTAAATATTTCCTTCTACGAACTAATTTTTTCTTCCTGTACTTTGTTTTCACATGCAATCTTTCTTTTATATATTATCACCACTGAATCAACTACTTCTATGAATTCGGTGTTCATCCTGTTGTACTAATTTGATACGGCAACTTGTACCGATACATATGTCTATCTGATCCTACGTTGTAGCTGACTGACTCACTAAGTGACTGAACAAAAAGATAATTCGTTTATACCTTATATTTATATTTGAAAATTTAACTTACATTTCCAAAATCTGTTTGTTTATTTGAATCATTAGTTAATGGTTCAATTCTTCTAGTAAATGATCCAATAATTGGCTTAAAATATCAAAGGAAAATTATTAAAACAAAATAAATTATTAGTTCAATATAAAAATTGTATTATATTAATCACTAAAATTTATTTATTTACTTACTTATATAATGACAATAATCAATATTCATAGGATTAAGAGAAATAATAATAAACGATTCATCTGTTTCAGAAGGTGTTTTATGGAGATTGTAGTAATTTCAATAGTTGAGATCATGATTCAATTGAAGCTAGAATACTATGGAAAACCTGTAAGCACTGGACGGCCGTTTCGTCCTATTGTAAAATTCCTCATCTGTTATCGAGAAGACTGATAATGTACTTAATACTAGAAGTAATCCAATGATAGATATACATAATCTAATAGATAATTATATTTTGTATAAGGAACTGTATTACATTGAGTTAATCTATTACACTGTATGTATCGTTTACATGTAAATGTATCTAAAAAATTTGTGAATTGGATAGATTTGTGCATATCCATTTATCCATTTTTCTTTATTAAACGAAAACAGAACAAATTTCCATGCCATATTTTTCTAGTTAGAAATGTGAATAAACTAGGAACAATGAACGTGGTAGAATAATAGGAATTAAGTTTTTTAGTGGATTTAACTGTTTGTATTCTTTTAGTCATTAAAAATACAGCATAAGTATATATAATTCATTTTTTGTATTGTTTGTTTGGACTTTCCCATTGCTATTTAGGACTTCTTGACATACTATGTGGCATACTGTATGTGTTGCTTCGAAATTGCCACTTGCACAAGCAAGTGGTTATAAGGACTCAGTAGCTAAGTGGATAACACGATGGCATTTGGGGTGAACGGTACTGGACATGAACTCTGAGATGCAGGTATATCCAGTTGATGAGTCCCAAATAAGATGAAACGCGAGTCCTGGATTCCACTGCTAGCCACTATCCATTTTCGCTTAGAGATTGATGATGGCTAGCAACGAATCCAGGACACGCGTTTTGTCCTGTTTGGGACTCGTCAACTCGATTTGTCTGAATCTCAGAATTGATGTTCACTTCAGGGCTTCATTCAGGAAAAAGTAGGGTTAAACATTCAAATGTAGAATAATAACGTAATAAATGCCAAACAATTAAAATGATCATTTATTTATAGGCTAAGTGTATGAATATTTTAGAAGACAAAACTGAGAAAATTATAGAAATAGGATTTTTCACAATTCTAGCCCAAGTAATATCTATAATAATTGAATAAACCAGTCAGGTACATATAAGAAACAACCCGTTGAAATTTAGTGTACACTGATAACTTGTTTTACCTAGTATTAGATCACAAAATGTCAAGACTATCAGTTAACTGCATCTTTTGAATTATATCATTTTTGAAGTCACTAATCTCTACTAAACACAGACGTAAGTTGAAATTTGGTAATTCTTTTAAAGCCACTGATAAACAGTCATGAGATTATTGCTTAGTCAGAATTACTGAGTAATTGTTAAATAGTTAAATCATTACAAGACCTGAAGGCCTAAATGTTAATGGTATTTATTAGTGTAGATTTATGAACCGAGACAAACATTCTTACTACTTATCTGGAATCGACCTTCATCTTTTATTCATTAAGCAAAAGATGTGAATTATTATTTTCTTAATTCGATTTTAAAAGACTGAGAAGTGTATTATCAGCTCTTAGACAATGGGATTCAAAATCGAGTACATGAATCCCTAAGTAACAATACAGTCACATTAATTACTATTAATATATGTCAATGTATGCAATTTTAACCACTACATATCCGTATTAACAAATAATTTGGTTTAGTATTGAAGATCAAAAATGATACTGTATTTTTTGTTAGTGATAGTGTGGTACGTGCTACTTATGTAGACATAAGTAGTATATGATGTTAGTCGTGAACAGAATGTCTGGCAGCAGAGAGACAAGAAGATCGAACAGTAAAGAATGAAGACAGAATGCAATTTGTATGAATATGAAAGAACAATGAAGTCTGAGTCATTTTGAGACAATTGATGGACATTGTGCAAATTATGCATTTACTTTATGATTGTTAGATTTTACTAACAAGTCCTGTAATTTTGTGTCAAATACATTCGATTTTATGGTGGTTGGAGGTAGTCGACAGGAAACCCTGGACCTGGGTTTCGTGCTACTTGGCAATCGTCAGCAAGGTGTACCGGTAGTCTTTGAGGGGACTGGTGCTCCCTGGCGGATTCGATCTCGTGTCAACCAGCTTCACAGTCAGAGACGTTATCGCTGAGCTATCCGGGCCCCGACCGACCTCCTGCAGGACTGAGATGTAATCACAATTGGTTGACCACTGGGTGGTGACCAATCATTTGTGATTACATCTCAGTTCTACAGGAGGATTATTACACGTTATACTGGAGAATTATGGTCTACTTCTTCAGTAGTACATTTATCTTTGCTACTATAATAATAAGCTTAATCCCAAAATTGTAGATATGTCATAACGTGACTACCTAATCTATAAGATCTCACATGGAAGCCACATCATAGTCTACACTGACTTTTCCTATCATGATAATCAGAAATATAGCTTCTAGTACTTCTGAAGAACATATTTTGAGCTGGGTAGAGAATGATATATTCAGTATAAAAACAAAATATTACATGGGGTGATCATGCCTACATGGCCGAACGCCAACATACCGATCGATTATTGCTGTGTTCACTATTGCCGACCTTCTCTCCATGTTATATATCGAAAATGAATTTCCTCAGTTATCTCATATTCAGTTTCAAGGATTGTATGATTAGAACAAATACCACTACAATACTAACATATTTTGTTTATTATAGATATTAATATACAAACATAGAACACTAAAATGTAGGCCTATTATTTTAGTTATTTCATATATGAATCTGTTCTAATGGATTGTTTAGTAAAAATGAAATAACAAATTTGTAGTGCATTTTATTGTTTATTGAAAATAATTCCATTTGACCAAGATTATTTTCATCAATAAACATTAAAATATACATTTAGAAGTTGAATATTTTATGGGTTAAATAAGAAGTAAATAACAGTTGGTGTTTATTTATTTTTTCTGATAAAGAAAAAATAATAACGGCTAACCGAAGGGAAAAAGGGATTTCATTTTTGATTGAGATCATGAACTGATTGATGTTAAATCACCATTGAAAACCTGGAAACACTGGAAGGCCGTTTCGTCCTATTGTGGGACTCCTCAGCAGTGTAAGAGGAATCGTGGATGTGCACTGCTGAGGAGTCTCTCACAATGGGATCGAGAGACCGTCTAGTGGTTTCAAGTTTTCAATGGTGGTCTAAAATCAATCAGTTCATAATCTCAATCAAAAACTTGATAATTTCCACAAACCTATACTGAGAAAAAATTTAACTTCTGTTTAACAGAATAAAAACCTGATACTTTGACGAAACAGCCATCGAATGCTTCAAGATTTTTAATGGTTGTCTAACAGTGAGTGGATTATGATCTTAAGTAAACATTTAGTTTGATAGTAATCCGAATTGATAACAAACAATAATTAGGAAACCACAGTAAATCAAGGAACACTGGACATTTGTATTTTCTTATTAAAACATACTTTTAATAGGTTTCTTTAACCCTACATAATATGAAATTCCATTTTTTCTGGGTTTTTATGACAAACGTGGTAGATTTGAGTAAACGAAACAAAATTCAATTATTTTATTTACTTTAGACATCAGTGAATCTGAATACTCAAAGTGTATATCAATCCTTTTAAAAAAAATCATTTTCTATATAAGTGTCTAATTAACTTTGTGACCAGTGGGGCTAATCCGTGTCGGGTAGAAACAGATATCTACCTCAGTACAATGGAAGACGGTCACGCGATTTCGTAGATTGGTTGGGGTTAGACATTAACACCGTTGAATACCAACTCAGTGGTTTATAGGTTAAGCGTTCGTGCGCTAGATTGAAGGCCCAGTGTTTGAATCCCGATAGCGGGATCGTGGACGTGCACTGCCGAGGAGCCCACAATAGAACGAAACGGCCGTCCAGTGCTTCCAGGTTTCCAACGGTGTTCTAACATTAATCGGTTCATGATCTCAATCTACAACTTTAGAATTGAGATGAATACAATTAAAAAATCCTGGAAAATTGTAAAGTGCTAGTCAATTGTTTTTTTCAGGTTTAATAAATTTTCTTACAGAGTACACTGAATAAATGTAATGAATAGAAGTTAAAATAAACCTCCTAGACTTTGATTCTCTTTGTTAACTCTTGATTATCATCTAAAAAATGTTACTGGTATCTTTTTTTAGGCTACTTAAATGTATTGATATACTACCGTGAGATAAATTAAATACTGTGTGTTGTCCTAAAACTTCTTTATAGAATTACTATTTGTAAAGACGACGCCGGGTGAACTCTAGGAAACTCTAAGAAGCTCAGAAGGAGCCGAAGACATAACATCCAAATATCGTTTTGGAAGAACATCCCAAAATCTTGACGTGTAGCTTCCCGATTGGACAAATGACAAAAACCACTGAAGTTATATGAAGCTGTTACCAAGAAGGAACTGTGAATGGTCTTTAAGCTTACTTGGTACACAGAAAGTGAAGTGTTTAGAAGCGGATTTTATTCTTAAACCTTTCACATCACCCTTACAGTATCACTTCAATAAAATATATGAAGCAATCAACAGTTCGAACAACACCAAAGTGAGTCATTTACACTGAAAGTGTCTAATAATAAATGTATTGCATTTATTATAACTTATAAAATGATGAATTATATTCAGCAGTCTGCTTCTTGAGTAAATGCAGCTCTGTAATCAAACAAAAGTTTCATACCATATCCCGGGTCAGTGATCTAGAGGTTACGCGTTGACGCATGAGACTGGAAGCCCTGGGTTCGATCCCCGCGTGAGGGCTCGCAGGTGCGTACTTCTGAGTCCCATACTAGAACGAAACGCCTATCCAGTGCTTCTAGGTTTCCAATGTTGATGTAGCTTAGATCGACTCGTAAATTCAACTTCGAAAATACACACAAGTTTTCTCGATTGAATGACCTAAATTAATCTACTAATACTTATTAAAATTATTTATAGTTGATTGATCACTGAGTTGCAATTTGTCCACTAGTCTAGGTGACTCAACATCGTGTGCACTATCTTGAGACATGAGGTGATGGATGAATATATCTAGATGACATAGAATCAAATCCACCATAGAGTACCAGTTCCCTCGAAAATACAGTCATATCTTCATGACGAGTATCAAATGTCACGAAGTTGAGGTTCAAGTTTTTTTTGTCGACTTACTCTAAAATTCAATCAAATACTAGGTATTTCTTTTCAAGTAATAATGCTATCACAACGATGCTCTTTGTTAAATTATCATAGCAAAGGTATTTTAGGCACAATTTACAATCCTTACAGAAACTTTAATCACAAATTTTCCACATAGATTTATTTTGAACATCTTATAGTTGAGATAAATGACTATTTCACCATAACTAATAAATGGAATTTTTCAAAAAGATGAATGTATTATTCTCAGAAAAGAGTTTTTATAGATATTATAGCAATTTTTTTAATAGTTAAATTCATGAGTTAATTGAAGCTAGACCACCATGAAAAACCTGAAAATACTGAACAACCATTTCGTCCCAATGTAGAACTCCTCATCAGTGCTCATTCATGATCCCGTCCTATGAGATTCAAATCCACGATGTATAATTTATTTATTTATTCAGGGTCATAGCTTAGTACATGTCAATAACTGTGGTTGTTTTTTCTTATAATTTCTACTGTAAATTTATTTAAACCAATCAACTGATCCTTCTTATACGATTATTAACATACAAACATTTAGTCACATAATTATTGTCCCCAATTTATCTTATGAGATTAAAATGTACATACAATGTGAGTGTGTGTTTTACAAATTATGTACAATGTAGATAACATTCTACTATTATTTATTGTTTACGCTACAACAACACCCAAAAAATACATGATTTGTAACTTTAAGTGGATAATGCATAGATTTACGAAGCTAAACAATTCATACTAATTACTGTAATCGATTATTAGTCCCACACGTTTATGGGACTAAATATATATAGTCTTATTTTCAGCCTTACCAATTGTGTATATACAACATAACAAGGAAATACATTTTTTTATTTCTTATTGTTTCCATCATGATATCACAAGAATAATAGCATAATGGCTACCTTTAAACTATTTCAGTTCCATGAAATTATGATTTATGGATACATTAGAAGAGAAAAAAACACGATCCTAACTGAACTATACAGTTGTAAATTTCTAAATATACTAAACAACTATCATCACATAGTTGAACCAGATTTAGTAAATAACTTAGAGTTAAATAATATCAATATCATTTAACTTACTTTATTACGTGCAATTCCATGAGGTGGAACAGGAGGAGCTGTAGTATTTTGTGAATTCGAAGCAACAGCTGCATTGAATTTCGCTTGAATAGGTGTATACTTTTGTGAATTACCATAATTAGCTGTTCTAAGCTGTGGTGCACTTGGTGTTCGTTGACTACTACCACATTGTCTAAGTATACCAGTTCGTGCAAATTGATTATCATTAGTTGAATTTACTTTACGCTGTTTTGATAATTGTGATTGTTGATTACTTTCTTTTTGAATGGAATGATTCCCTGTTGTTCCATTATTAAGACCAAGAGTAAATATATCTGTAGTTGATGTGGCAGCATTCGATTGTGTCATAGCTTCAACTTGACGTATAATTTCTCTAACTGACGGTAAAATGTGAGCTTCATTGTCTTCCTTTATTTTTATAATGAAATAATGAAATTAAAAGAAGTTTTGATTATATATTGTTGATATGTATTCAATGTAAATAGCTGTCATGTTTGCTGCGTTTAAAAAAACAACGAGTAACAAAATAGTAACTAAGTTACCGAGTAGTTAGGTATCATTTCTAATTTAAGTATCTAAAATCATTGAGGTTAAGGCGTAAGGGAAGTAATTTTATCACAAAAAATATCAGTCTGAAAACTTATTTCTAGTATAAACTAATCAGGTGATACTCTAATTTGTAGATGCCCCTTGAGTGAGGCTAAAGTGACCCTGAGAATGTCCACTTACTAATTAGGACTAAATGAGGGTTATAAACCAGTGTGAGGAATTAGAATTATGATTTACAGTTATAGTTAGGAATTAGAGTTTTCATCACGAACTGACATCAGCTAAAATGCCAAAACACCATTTATCCAAATGGATCAAGGAATTTCATGACAAAATCCAAGATCTGTTATATCATATCTGATTGATTCGTCCATAAATTATAGTCTAGCCACAACAAGTTAATCTGTTTGGGAAAATTTAGCTAAATATTGATAGAATTCATTTCGTTATTTAAGTCTCGTTGACTAGATAATGAAAGTTCAGCAAATAAAACCTTAGTTGTATTTAACGATCCAGAATTTTGTATTACGTCTAATATAAAATAGATGTTAATGAGTCCTCTAACAAGGAATCTAACATTATAAGATTGAACAATAATGAATAATATCTTGATCAATAGGTAATGATTGAGGCTATAGACCTTCAATACAAATATTTAACTTGAAGAAATCTAACATAGAAAATTCCTCTTAATGATCAGAAAGAACTAGTAGTGAAGTAAGAAATTTTCCACTTATTGTGATTTATTTGATGATATTAAACAGGTTTTATTCGAAGCAATTATTCCCTTTGATAAGTTTCTATGGTGTAATATGAAGACGAAGATTATCAGATTATCGTATTTGCACAAATGACACCACTGATGATGATGATGTTAGGTTGCTAAATATAACATTAATGGAAAACGACTATCTCCTTAAATTTACAAATAGATGTAAAGTTCATGGTACAGTGAGACCTATTATAACCTTGGAGGAAAAAGTCTGTCTACATCACCTGACCATTTAGAGGTGATTCAAATAGCCTTTTATTGAAACAAAGGCTTAAATCAGTCATTAACAAAACATATCGTGCAACAAATGTTATTACCAAGGAAACAACAAGTTGCATGCTCCATTGAAAACTTAAAAAACAGAAAAAATGATTGCGTCTCATTCCACTGTGTTTATCAATTTTAGTGTGTGTGTGGTCACATACATAGGGAGGAGTAATCGTGATCTTAAAATTAGGGTGTGTAAACATGTACGTAAATGGTTGCAGAAACAAATAGAATCGAGTGACCCAACAAGAGTAGAGGATAAACATCTATCATCCTCTATTGCCAAACACATAATTGAAAGTGGTCATAAGACTGATTTGAAATCAGCTTTTGTGGTGTTGTACAAAAGTGTAAAGCGTTTGTTGAAGCCTTAGTCATACGAAAATTCAAGTCCCCTATATGTATTTAGAGACATTTTGTTTTTACCTTAAACCTACCCTGGTAATATTAGCTTATTATCCGAAATGATGAAATTTGCAATTGTACAGCTTTGAAAATGAATTCGCCTCAAATAGAACTCTTCGCTGAACTAATCTTTCCTATTTAATGTCTTAATGGGTGTATTCCGTTTATCAAATTGTTTTCACATTATTTTCTTTATTATCCTTGTCTCCTCATACCTTATATTTTAATATATAAATGTTCTGAACAAGTATATAATGTGTGATCAGATTGTTCGAAATGTATTGGGTTAATATATATCACATAGTTCTGATAATCTTCGTCTTCTTATTACACTATCGAAATATTATCTGGTTTTCTAATTTCGTTATAAAGGTTTAAAATTAAGCCGATATGTACTAAACAGTCTTTTCATTTTCTACATAAACGCTAAAATAGAAATGTGAAAAAAGTGTAAAATACTTCTCTACGTGATAAATGATCGCATAACTGAAAGGATAATTAGTCACGAAACCAAATTATTGGACATACTGTAGATTTGTCACCCTACCAATGGTAAACGAAAGTGCGGTATATATATATATATATATATATATATATATATATATATATATATATATATATATATATATGGTACTTTTGATCGTGGGATTATTAATATGTCATTTGTAAGTAACTAAATAATTAAACGCTGGAGACCATGGCAACCCTACAGTTCTGTCTGGTTGTGTCATTTACCGAATGCAGTTGCATAATATAAAATTACTGAATCTAATTCATATTACATAAATGACTGTTCATTATCATTCTGTTTATCAAAAATTTTAGAAAATAAGTTGAAAAACTACAGTTACCTTAAAACAAAATTTTTTTTAATATTAGAAAATTACCTCTGGTGCATCAGAAGAAAATGAATTAACATTGTTATGTTCAACTCTAGATGGTGAAGAACCACGTCGTTGTACATTTGTAACATTTAAATTAATTTTTTGTGATGTTGCTGTATATGAATTTTTCTCTCCTCCAGAACTTGATATCAAATTATTTTCAGAAGCTCGAAAACATGTTACAGGACTGATGGTTGGACTTGGACCTGGACTAGGCTGTGCACTTCTGCTTCGAGCAGGGATTGTCACTGGACCAGGGCGACTACCTGATGTATATATCTATAAATAAAAAAACGAAAATTGTTCACAGATTATTTTATTGATAAAACACTAGAGATATGAAATAAGAGATATGTTCGTATATTTACCTTTCAACTTCTAACAATCATTTGTGATACTTTGTAAGAGTTTTGTCTAATTAAAAACTGGAGCATATCTTCCACCCTATAAAGTTCCCTAAAGTTTATTAAATGTATATACTGTGGACATGTACCATAGTAACTCGGATTCATAAATCAATAAAATCAATTATACTGATGTGTTATTTCTTGCTAATCCATGTAAATATTTAAAAATATATATAAAGTGCACAAAAATGAGTGTAGTGTTAAATTTCTTAAACCTATCTTTCAATTTGGGATCTGATAATGTATACAAAAAACAAAAGAGATTGAACCTAGTTGGAATAGTGGATTGAAACAGGATACAACAAAGTTCTAAATTCTTTTAAAATTTTTATTACTTTCAATAAAATAGTTTTGTGAATAAGAATCATAAAATTATGGCATACAGTCATATAGATATGAACCTTGGGGAGTATCACCAATTGTGTAATGATGTCAGTTATCATTTAATTGAGTGAGTTTTAAAGGTTAATTAATATTAGAAACTGTTTTTTGTCATCAACTTAACAATATTGATGAACTATTAGCAGTTGCTAAGACATTACCTAGCTCTTGTGGAGCTAGGTATATAGGTCGTTCAATGCGTACTTTATCCAACAAGAATTCAAGAACATTGTCCTGCGTGGCTAAAAAGAGGAGGCAATGGCTCAATAAGAAGTTCTATAATCGAACACCTTGTGAACACAGGTCATTCAATCAAGACAGACTCTGCGTTCAAAGTCATCTACAAGGTAAGTAGAAGTCTTCCTTAGGCAATTAGACTGCATCTTCTTTGCATTGCCGAAGCAATAACCATACATCTGGAAAAACGGAATTGTGTGTGTAAAAGAGACTGGTACAACCTCTTCTTCTACCATGGTCTTAATGTATTGAAACTTCCCTTTTGTTCATTTACAGCCATCTGCTTCACCTTCCTTCTTCCCCTTAAATCTTCTATTCCCAACTGGTTTGTTTTTATTTCCATGGTCATTCCGATTACATTTCATCCCAATCTCAACATTTTATCATATCATGCTGAGCCATCCTTTCCAAATGATAATTTTCCTATCTATCTTTTGATGAATACTTAAGCCATTAACAATCAAACGATTATCAAACTTTCCTTGTTTTAAAAAGAATTTTTTTAATACCTTTGTTTATTTAACCTCACTGTCACCATGTATAACAAGTTTATTATCAGTACTATTATCATCCTGTAAAAATAAGTATATATATTTCCGATTGTACAGCTTTGAAAATGAATTCGCCGAAAAGAGAACTCTTTGCTGAACTAACCTTTCTTATTTAAAATAAAATAAGCCTAATATTATTTCTAAACCGATAAAATCACTACAATCAATCCTATGCAAACTGAAGGAGGAAATAACAAATGAAGACAAATCAAACATCATGTACAAAATAAATTGTGCCAATTGCGAAAAGCACTACATCGGTCAAAGCGGACGCCCCCTTCACCTTCGCCTACATGAACATCAATTAGCAGTCAAACGCCATGATATTTCTTCACTTATATCAATACACGTGGACAACTGCGGACTGTCATTCGATTGGAAAAATGTGGAAATCTTGGACAGAGGAAATTCTAAAAACACCAGAGAATTTTTAAAAGCCTGGCACTTAGGTCAATCAGCAATCAACAAGCACATTGAAATCGATCCAAATTATCAACCAATCAAGAAAATTATGCACAAATATAGGAGCAAAAATCAAACCAGTAGGAGACACAACCAAAACAATAAAGTAAACAATGACAAATTTACAGTCAATAAGAACCAATCAACACACAGAACAAGCTGTGGAACACATATTGAAAAATTCGAACACTTCACTTTTATTTGAAGTTTGTGCTGATGATGTCTATCAGAAGAACGATGAAAGCTCCACGACCAAACCATCCAGCTCAGGGAACTGAACTCCATCAAAATTATTTTTATACTTATTAACAACTCTCAGGTAGTGTTTCTATATTCTGAAGGGAAATTATTATTGATGGTGTTTAATTATATCTGGCAATAATCAGTTATATTAGTCATTGAAACAGTTAATCATCATTAGTAAATTAACTAAAATGTAAAGTATGAACCATTGAATTTCAACTGAATGACAAAATATGTTATTCTAGCATTAGGATCTGAAATTCCTGGATTGACATTATAAAGTCAGGAATAAAATGAACAAAAATTATTCAATGTCTCTGGGTTTCACACTATACTTTATTGTTACTAACTTATGGTTGAATTACGAATCAATATCTTAGGCCATTAGTCAGACAGTTCGAGATTTTGTTACGCTAACTTTTTATTTAATACTGATCATTAGTTGAATCATTATCATTAAACAATCTATTCATGTGTTGAGCCATTCACCAAAAAAATTATTTGATCACTTTGTCAAAGTAAGTTTATATTACAAACAGTAATAATTTTCCGAAATATTAATTTATTGCATTTAGAAGCTAGGTTTTATCATCGATGAACAAAGAGGATACGATACAGACGTAAAGGCGAGGATTGGTAATGTAAGGGAAACATTCCTACATTTAAACAAAATATATGGAACTCAAAACAACTATCTGTCCGCTAATATCAAAGTCAGAATCTTCAACATGAACATCGAGATAGTCCTACTGCACGGAGCTAAAACTTGGAGAACTAATACAACCATCATCGAAAATGTACAAGTATTTATAAACAATTGTCTATGTAAGATACTCTATATCCGTTGACCGGATACCATCAGCAACGAACTAATGCGGGAGAGGACAGACCAGCTTTCCTTTGAAGAGGGAATTAGGAAAAGATGGTGGAAGTGATATACATTTAGGAGATCATCAAACTGCATCACGAAGCAAGCACAAACTTGGAATCGTGAATAGAAACGAAAAAGTGGAAGACCAACGAACACATTGCATGAGGAACTGGAAGTGGACATGAAAAGAATGAATAGCAGCTGGAAACAACTGGAAAGGAGAGTGGAGGACAGAGTTGGATGGGAAATTCTTGTGAGTAGCCTATGCTCGATCACAAGAGGTAACAGACATAAATCAGTAAGTAGGAAGCTATGTTTTATCTTTTAATATTTAGTGGTTCAATAAGGTACATTGTTCAGGAGTAACGAGCTTATTTATTAACAATTCGTTCATCATTAATATAAATCTATTTTGGTTACTGTATACAAATCCCTTCGATCTTTTTAAATCTAAATTATAACACAACATATCAAAATTTATTCACATCTTTATCTTATAGCTACCTACTTCAATGCTCCTTTCAACATTTTTCTGGTTTATCCACCTTTGTTATGTTATAAACAATGAAATTCAACCAATTTCCAATCCTTTATATCTTTAGTGATATTTATTGTTTAGGTTACATTTTGAATATTTATCTCAACTTCCACTAACTGGACAACTTATATCGACCACATAACAGACACAATAAAAAACTAAATCTTATTCCGTTCAAAGCTAAAGTAACTAACATGCGCTTACTTTCTAAAATTCTGCATACTTCTATTCATATGTAATTCACCAGCTGGTAACAGACATCGTTAGTAGTCTATAATCTTTAAAAAAAACATATCTTGTTCTTAAGATTTTTCCCTGTATCGTATATGACGTTTCTATATCTGTATCAGGATGGGTTTTGTGGATATTATAGTGACTTTTTTAATAGTTGAGATCATGAGTCAATTGAAGCTAGACTACCATGCAAAACCTGGAAGCACTGGACGGCCGTTTAGTTCTATTGTAGGACTCCTCAGCAGTGAGCATCCATGATCCATCCTCGTGAGATTCGAACACAGGACCTATCGGTCACGTGCGCGAGCGGTTAACCATTAGACCACTGAGCCTCTATCCAGCGGTGTTGATTTCTGGCTTCAACTAATCCATGAAATTGAGTGACACACCCACTATTATCTTCAGTCAGTCACCATTTTACAACAGACCAGGGTTCGAATCTCGTGAGGTGGGATTATGGATGAGCGCTGCTGATGAGTCCCACAATAGAACGAAACGGCCTTTCATTGCTTACAAGTTTTTTATGGTGGTCTAAGTTCAATTGATTGATGATCTCAACTATTCATAATGACAGCCCATTTTACAGAGGCATTATTTGTCTATATTTATGGTTTTTAACAATTTGAAGTCATATTCTATGTTAACATTTTTACAAGCAATGAAACTCTAACTGAAATGAAATAATGCTTTAATTATCTGTCAATTGAGATCGTTGGTTAAATACACATACATGCATGCACACACACACACACACAAGCACACGAAGGTATTTATTCATTATATAATATTAATTTACATCTTACAAATGTTAGATGTCAAAATGTTTACCGAACAGTAATATATTTTGCAAGCTTACTAGATGAATCATCTTCTTGTCGATTATTCATGAATTAATAACTAAGTAACTAACTAACTGACTAACTAACTAACACCTCCAGTTTTATTGTCTGTTTACTTACAATATAATACATTGTGTACTATATGATATAGACAAAACAATGTATATGTATAATGAATCATGGTCAGGGAAAGAGGAAATATACATGTCTGATTATTAATCTCATCAACATTACTTATTTATTTTTGTTTATACTAAAATAAAGCAAAGACCAAAGTGATTTGAAATATTATTGACGTTGTATTTTAATGGGACTATGGTAGTAGCAGAATAGATTATAATAATCAATGTTTCTATGTTAATTATTATGGGGAAATGTGACGTGTGATTTTCTTTTCTTCTTCTTATTATTTTTCTTTTATATACAATGGATTGGTTGAAGTTAAGCATTAACACCGTTGCATACCGGCTCAGTGGTCTAATGGTTAAGCGCTCGCGCTCGAAACTGATAGGTTTT